ATGTATTACTGACACCTCAATAAAGATTCATCACGTCAGTTAAACAATTTTTAAAAAAAAAATAAATATTATTATGTTATTAATATGTCAAATTATTTATTTTTTTAATGAATATTATATGAGTGGTATTATGTTAAATAATTAGTGATTTGTATTACTCAAAATTTAGAATTAAATTGAACTAGGTAAAATTTATTAAAAAACTAAAAGTAAAAGTTCTAAAAGAGTTAAAATAATCAAAAAGAAAAAAAAATAAACTTATTTATTACAATAAAATCTTTATAACCTATTGTTTCAAAAATTGAAAAAATTTTTATATATTTTATAATCAATTTTTCTTTTTTTGAAAAATTTCTTATTATTAGTATCAAAGAAGTTATTTGATTTTTATTATCAAAAATCAAATTTTTAGTAAAGTAATTTGTAAACAAAAGAAAAAAAGTAGAAATAACTCTTGAAGTCATACTTCAAGTTGCTTTAATGAAAGTATTAAAACAAAACTTCTTGTAAACATCTTTTTTGTGTGTAATCAAAGGATTAGCAAAAAGAGTATTATCATGTGTTCACATTAATAGTATATAGGATTTAAGGCTTAATATTACTAGAAATTTTTGCATATTTAAATTAATAGATTTTTGTTGTAGGGTTGACATATGTTGCATTGAATTGGTGTTTTAACTGGTCAAAGATTCATATTTTTTCTATACACCCCTCTGTGTTTATTATTGAAAGGTCAATAGTTAAAGCATAAAAGGTCTCTATTCCTTTACCAAGAAATCCTAATTGGATGGTTAAAATCCTCTTGAATTAATAAATGCAATAATTCGTATTTTCGCCTCGCTATTTTTATTTTTATATTTTAAAAAATTTTATTTTAATTAAAAAAAATAATCGACTATTATAAAATAAAATAAATTTTATAAAAGCGACGCCCTAAAAAGCAATCATACCCTAATCCTTATAACCACCCTAGTTTCTATTAGAAAAAACGACAGGTACTTTTTTATCATTTAAGAATATTAAAGTTATAATATAAAACACTACATATTTACTGTATGTAAAAAAATTTCAAGCCAAAAAAAGGTATTATTTCAACTTCCACTAGACTTGTCTCTTGCCCAGAACCTAATGAATTAAGAAATTATATACAGTATATGTATTGACTATTCAAACTAATAAAATTGATAGAAGAAAATCGAGCCGTGAATAAAAAAAGACTTTACAAGCTTAACCAACTTCCATCAAGATGGAGATTTGGGTGAGAAGCCGTATTACGTCTCTCTCTCCCACTCATGCCGTTATGAGGATTTTGTGATGGTTGATTATAAATACGTGAATAATTATTGTATTTTCGGTGCCGTGATCGACCACCATTACTCCTTTCTTCGGCGGTAACTTCTGCAAGACCGGGAACTTGAATTCTCTTCGCTGAGAGCGCTTTTTACAAGCATCATGCGAACTGAATTCCACGAATGCATATGGCTTATAAATTCAGTAATAAAAAGTTTGGATCAATTAAATTTTCGAGGTAAAAAAGATGATTCTGATATGTAAAAAGTTAAAATCCATTACTCACTTTTTGATTGTGTGAAGAGAGATCTAAACTTTTCACCTGCCCAAAATGCTCGAATGCTTCGTAAAGCTTCTCCTAATTCATATTGAGACCAATTCCTCTGACATATAATGATAATTCTACATAAAAAAGTAATTTAGTATGATATCGGAAAATGAAGATTTCAAAACACAAGGAACATTTCATTACCCTCATTTCTTTGATCTTGATTTGATGTTTTAGACTGTGTCCGTGGTAATGCTTGTGGAACAAGTCGTCCTTTTTTCTCGGGAATATGTTGCCCCCATTTACCGCTATCACTGGTAGCAACACTAGAATATGAAATTTTTGATGGCGATTGTGTAGGTGATGTCAACTGTGTCATTGTGTGTTTGAAATGGTGGAATTGTTTTCCAATAACACGGTGATCGGATCTCTACTATCAATCGGAACAGGTTCTTTGTTTCAATATCAGGTACTGCTTCTTATACAACAGGACTGGTCATGCTTTCAATTGGTGATTTCGTTGAAGATTGAGATGCACTAGTTGAATGAATTTCCATGGTTATCTCGTGTAGGTCCATTGGATCTGGAAAGTTCCAATCGGTCCTCGAGTCGAGTCGCGGCTGTGTCATGTGATTTGGATAATTATCACGGGAGCTACTTGGTCACCAAAAAAAAACTGACTTCATTCTAAACTTTCTTTAACGACTTTTTAGTCGTGTGTTACTAATATAAATTTCGTTTTAAGTAAAATATAGGTCACACCTGTTGAGACAGAAGAGCTGGAAAAAAAGTTATGTCTACTACTCCAAACGTTCACTGTCCTGGCATCGATTATCTCGTGGTGATCGATTTTGAGGCTACTTGTGACGAGAATGCGACAAATCCACAAGCTTTACAGGTGACAAAGGTATAAATCACCTAAATTATATATGTATATATATTTTTTTTTTTGCAAGTTGGTGTCTATATCTTCCAGTTTTATGGTTGGATTCGGTTGTAGTGCGCGTTCTTGAGCCGTATCCTGACATATTTCCACTCTTTTTTTTTGTTCTCTTGAGAAATGCTACTTATTTATTACCTGGTTTGCACATGTTGTTGGATTACTTTATTAGGAAACGGCAGAGATAATTGAATTTGCCTGGGTGATTGTTGACACTAACACTTTGGAAGTGGTTTGTATCTTTTGTTCATCATATATCATCACCTTCAGCAGGGCTTATCTGAAAATGTTAGCTTGACAGTTTTGTTCACTTATGTAAAGGTTTATCAACACACTCAATATGTTAAACCAGAGAATACTCCATTGACCTCTTTCTGTACCAGCCTTACCAACATAACTTGGGACAAGCTCGAACAGGCAGGAACTTTGCAGAATGCTATTACCAATCTTGACAACTACATTAAGTCTCGTATTAAGAGTCAGAATAAAACATTTTGCTTTTGTACACATGGCGCTTGGGATCTTCGAATTCAATTACCTCGAGAGGCAAGGGATAAGCATATCGAGTTGCCAACTTATTTAGCTCATTGTCGATTATTCGATTTGAAACAGGAATATCAGAGATGGCAGGTACATCACCAGGATGTAATATTAAAGAGTCAATCTCTTAACGAAATGTGTGAAGCCTTCGATTTGCAATTAGTTGGTCCACTACATTCCGGATTAGGGGATTCGTTGACGATGGTCAACATTATTCGCTACTTTTGTTCTTTCGGTCATTCCGATGTGTTTGTTAACCCAATTGATACCAACGCGGATTTGAATCAATTTAAAAAAGAACAATCCAAGGTCATTCATCTTGCGGGCTTACCATATGATGTTACGCAACCCGAATTAGAAGCATGGTTTTCCGGCCAAGGAATAAGGCCAACATTATTATGGATGATTCGAACGCCCGATCATCAAAAACCGAGTGGGTCTGGATTTGGAATCTTCGCTACGCACGAAGATGCCATGACCTGCTTAGAGATGAACGGTAGGACGTTGGGAGATAGAGTCATCGAAGTAAGTCCAAGTAGCGAAAGGGTAATTGAGGCTGCGGGGGCTATTTTGGCGTCGTTTCCGGTACGTGTATTGGGTCGCGGCATTAAATTTATTTGTTTCCGTTGCCCTTTTCTAGTTATAACGTCGGCAATAATTTCCAGAAGCTAACCCGAAGACTTGATCAATGATTCAAATTTCGAATCAACTTTGCAACATTTTTGAACCAATGAAAAGGTAACGAAAAGTCGTCTTCGTCCGGGGGATTGGGTTTGCACTTCTTGTCAGTTCCATAATTTTGCTTCTCGAAGAACATGTTTCAAGTGTAATAGCAACAACCCAAACCCATCCATGGTTCCGCAGACGCCTCCAAATTTCACATTGGGCGATTGGATGTGCCCGAATCCTCAGTGTAATTTTCATAACTACGCGTCACGTACTCAATGCCTACGATGCGGGACATATAAGCCTCAAGGGATGTACGGTCCACCACAAAGCAATATACCTTTTAGGCCCGGTGACTGGATCTGCCCAAATCCGGCTTGTGTTTTTCAGAATTTTGCATCTAGGACTCACTGTATGCGATGTGGCACTTCAAACCACCTGGGATACGATACATATGGGAATCCCGCGGGAGAACAAGGAGGGTATGGGACTGTGGTTCATGGACCTTCGTCACCGGCGCAGGCACCATTTCGCCCAGGAGATTGGCATTGTCCGACTTGTAGCTCTCACAACTTTGCCTCGAGGTTCCAATGTATTCGTTGCGGTTTGTCTAAGCCTCCACAGCTTTCGAATAATGCGCCTCCCACGACGAACATGAAACCTGGTGACTGGCTGTGTCGTAATGAACTATGTGGGTACCATAACTTTGCAAAAAGAACATATTGTGCCAAGTGTGGTATGCCAAATAGCGCTTCTTCTGGTGGCGAAAATGGGTACTAAGAAAGTTACATTCTTAAGAGCGGGTTAAAGCATCGATCATATTGTATACGTCGATAAAAAGATTATATTTAACGAATGTACTTTTAAGCGAGTTGATCATGGTTAGAAGTCAACAATTAGATATTAATAGTTTATTTTTTTTCGGTGGTACACGCGTTTCGATTCTTTTCCTTTCTTTTTTTTTTTATTATTTTCTCTTTTTTCTAAAAATCAACATTGTTTCAAATTGTATATATTTCTACTTGGGGACCTTTTATTAGGTGCGCCCATTTCTTTTGTTTTTTTTTTTTTCTAATTATTCATTTAATACGGAATTTTCGGGGTTTTTTTTACTCAACTTGATTGTTAATTGAACACGACTCTCTTTGAACGTAGACTGTTGATACAAAAAAAAAAAAAAAAAAAAAAAAAAAAAAAAAAAAAAACCTATTATACACGTTACATATAAAGATGACATCTGAATAATTCACGAGTATTATATATATTATTACCAAAAATGTTAAATTTGAACCACGTGTATTATTTAATCAAGTATGTGCTAACCAGAAAAGTTACTCGTGTAACGCTTTTTTTAAAACGTGCATACGTAAGATTATGCAACATACTTTACTACTAAGCACAACTAAAGACCAGAAACAGTTCGCGTTCGCTTCTTTTCTAATGCAATCGTAAAATGTCTTCTTATTCGATTCCGACTCAGCCAGGCTCGGCCGCAATCCCGATAGTTGCGCCTACATCAGAGAAGGATGCACCCAAGAACATTTCAGCTAAAAGTTTGGTTTATTCTTCATATTTTACCACGAAATTATTGTTCCTGAATCAGCTTTTCAAATTAGATTCCGCCCTGAATTCTAAAACAAGAACTTGCAGAAATCTGATCATACATGGTTACTGCAAGTATGAAGGGAAAGGTTGCGAGTTTAATCATGATATGGTAAGTTGGTAACGCTTATTTTTTATTTTATTTATTTATTATCATTATTATTATTTGTTTGGCTCGTTTTTCAAGCTTAAGCTTTCACGCCTCGAACTTGAATCAGCTAATGTGAGACAGATAGTGATCAACTATACCTTTCTCCCAATTTTGTAGGGTAAAACGACCTCTCCTCCAAACAGCCCCGAAACGTAAACGAACGCGTCTTCTTATTGATCTGATTCTTCCATTTTAACCCTGATAATCCAATTTCACGCCTTATTTTTAATGTCAAGATCCAAGACTACCAAATTAAGTGTTAATTCGCCTGTTTTTAAACCCGCGAGTCTCCTCTCAACGATTCCACCCGAGGTTGTGAATGCGCCACCATTCATCCCCAAGAATAACCAAGGTTGGTTCAACTTTTTCATCCACGAATAACGAGTATGCTCAGAATCGATTGTATTCCTCGTTAGTAAACGTCATTGACGAAACTCCGGTCACACCAACGAGTGTTTCAGGTAAGCTATGCGGGACGAGTTAGATTAAACGTTTCAATGGATGTCTGATGGGTTTAATTGATTTAACTTCGACAAGGTTCACCCCGTCAACAGCATTCTTATGATTCTAATGATCAAGAGTATGATGCAGAGTATTATATGATTTTTTTGATCACCGTCGTATCTATCATCATTTACTGATGTCCACTTGATGACAGCATTTCATTATATGATCCCACCATTGGATTTTATCCACAAAAGTCTTCCTCATCTGCCCAGTATTTGTTGTCTCCCGGTGGTGCCTCAAGTCATGGTTTGAACGCGCTTGCCAATTCATTTGCCTCCTTGGGTCTGAACAATAACGTAAGACGTTTGATGCTATCGCTTGTTCGTTACTCGATGATCTTTGAATACTCATAATTGATGCTTCCGGGTCTCAGGCGACACACTTTGCTACGCATGACACATTACCGGAGACAACATCTAATCATATGAATAATACGAACTTTTTCTCGACTTCACATCGAATAGATCCATTTTTGTATCAATCGCAACAGGCATTATTGCCTCAACCAGTACGACAATTATGATGCACGTGGATGAATTCTCATAACTTTTCTAAACCGGACTTACGTGATTGACTGAAAACATATCGCCTCTTTTTTTTTTTTTTTTTTTTTTGTAGCTCCAATACCATCTTTACACTTCACCACTTCCTCACGTGTCAAATCTTCATCCGCATCAAAAAACAATTCATGCATTTTTTATGTCAGACAATTTACGAGAGGAGTTGCAACATAAGAATGAAGAAACCTTGAGATCTGTCAACGGTAAAAATAACATTTTTCATATTATTATTCATCAACATCGCATCGTGATATAGTTCCTCTTACTTACCCTCGTCTTTATATCCAGCAAAGGATTTCAATTTGCCCGAGGAACTTCACGTTTATCATTCGTTGTATCCACTCGATATACGTCAAGAAAAATCGGTAAAAGTTTTTGGATACCCGAGTTGGGTATACAAGTCGACCTGCAGTGTCGATGGACGAGTTTACAGCTTGAGACGCATTGAGGGTAATTTTTAAATTGCATACATGCACAAGTTTTGTTGCTTACATTACTAATTAATGCTTTCGTTTGATGTTAATCAAGGCTTTAGATTGACGAACGAGGTGGCCATGTCGACAATTGAAAATTGGCGAAAGATTAGGCACGCTAACATCGTTTCAATACGTGAAGCGTTTACCACGAAAGCCTTTGGAGATCATTGTGAGTGAGATTAAAAACTCCGGATCGAATCTGAAATTTTATTTATTAATGCTCTTTCCGCATTCAAGCACTGGTCTTTGTCTACGATTATCATCCGTTGTCACAGACATTATTCGACAAACATTTCTCCTCCACGCAGATGTCTGCCCAGTTCCATTCCAACATTTCTGAATCAGTATTGTGGAGTTATATCGTGCAATTGGCGTCGACTCTCAAAACCATACATTCATCAAACTTGGCTGCACGAATGATTGAACCTACGAAAATCTTGCTTACCAGTAAAAATCGGTCGGTTAATTGAACAATTTATTTATTTTTCTTTTCTATAAATCGTACGTTAACCATTCACTTTTAAATTGAAAATTAGAATACGAATAAATTGTTGCGGCATATTGGACATGATCAATTTCGATGGTGGAAAAAATGTCCCGCATTATCAGGTTCGTCTTGTTGTTAAGTTTTTGCTCTCATCTTGATTCTGGGATAGTTGCGAAGTTGGTGTATTAATTCCACTAACCATATAAATACTATCGATCGTGATTGTTGTCCCGGGAATCCATTTGGAATAGTCCGTTTACTAATCATCATTAATAATTCAATAGCAAGAAGATCTCCTTAAATTTGGGCAATTGATTATTTCCCTTGCGTGTAACTCCTTGTCATCCGTTCATAATCTACAAAAATCGATCGACTTTGTTTCTCGTCAATATTCGTCAGACCTCAAAAATGTCATATTGTATTTATTAAGCAAACCGACGCTAATGAAATCGATTGATGAAGTCGTGAAACTGATCGGAACTAGAATATTAAATGAAATCAATAGTGTTCATCAGTACGTGTCATCTACTAAAAGAAGCCGTAATGTTAGTGGTCAATGTAAAGTCACTCCTTCTTCTCTTTTAAAGAACTTTTTTTTCTCTCTCCATTAGTTATAATGATTTTTTGGAAAGCGAGTTAAGCCAGGAATTGGAAAATGGAAGGTTGGTGCGTTTGCTATGTAAGTTTGGATTCATTAACGAACGTCCCGAGTAAGTATTCTTTTGTACATATTTTAGCGGGGTCTGCATTCGTTTATTGTTGTGCAAGCTGATACGAACGTGTATTATTAACGCCCCTCGAAAAATTACATCGAACTTTACAGATTTGACATGGATCCAAGTTGGTCGGAGACCGGTGACAGATACTTGATCAAACTGTTTAGAGACTACGTATTTCATCAGGTTGATGAAAACGGTTATCCCGTTATCGATATGTCTCACGTCTTGATGTGTTTGAATAAGGTAACGTCATGCTTGCGAATCAAGATATTTGATGATATTATGTAATTTTAACTCCGATCAATGTTAGTTGGACGCCGGCGTTGAAGAAAGAATAACATTGGTGTCACGAGATGAACAATCATGCCTCATCGTGTCTTACAAAGACATAAAAAACTGTATTGACTCTGCATTTAGAGACCTCTCCCGAAGAAAATAATATAATCGGAATTCCTTTCCGTTAGTATGCTTGTATTAATAATATATCTTATTCAAATCCATTTTCATGTAATTATCGTTAGAGATTAAAATTAATTTTTTTCAATAAACATTATTGCATATCAAATTGCATGAAAATTTTCTAATTATTCGAAATCATACTGCTTTTGTTATTAATGAATTTATATATATGTATATATACTGTATAATATATATATATATATTATCAAAACTAATTAATATATCAACGTCGACCACGCTTCGGGGGATTTACACCGTTACTGATTATGAATTGATCACCAACGGCCTTTCGCTTAATATCGAAAAAAAGCGTTTTAGTCATTTTGGACTCAATACCTAATATCATAAAGAAAATAATCACCTTCTTCTCTTCTTGCACCTGCGCCGGCGAGGAAACTTCCTCTTCTCCATGTTCTTTCTGTATGAGATTAATGAGAGTAGTGCATCTCCTGGCCAATTCACCCGAAGTTCTCGATTTGATGAACCAATTAAACCGGAATAGATCAGAATTTTCAATCTCATTTCTTATTTTCTCGTAAACGTCTTCAGTCCCGTATCCATGTTTTGCAAGAGCAATTAATAGATATCGATCTTCCTCTTCAGTAAATAACGTCTTCCCCTTTGCTTGGTTTGAAACTTGTAATTGATGCCCGGGAGTTCGGTATTGCGCAACTTTCGTTTTAAGTAGTTCCTGTATTCCGTGTGTTTGTTCTAATTTGCTTTCGCCTTTAGTGATCTTGGCAACAATTTCTTCGTGGTCTATTATCGAAAGAAGAAATTGAGCCTTTCAAATAAAGTTATTAATTATTTTATCAAGGATATTAATCTTACTAGGTAGTTCTCGATAGCGTTTCCAAAATACTTGTGCATATGCTTTGACTTCCTCGAAAGATTTGCCTTCTATTTCCGATGCTATTTCTTCAAGCTGATTCCTACGAAATGAGGAGCTTGGCAGTTAACTTGACGTATTTACGAATATAACCGAAGCTTAACACTGCATACTACCTTCCGTATTTTGCGGATGCGCTTACAAAATTATTAAAATCACGTTTACTCCAATCTTCAAAAATCTAATTGAAATGCATGAAAAATGTTAGCGAATATGAGGTACACGCGGAAAGGTTCTCTCGACATATCGAGGTGAACTGACGTTTTCCATTAGACCCTCCTTTTCAGCTTCTTCCTCTTCTGTCAGAGCCTCAGCTATATATTAATAACAAATTGAGTTTTTTTTTCTTATAAATGCCTTTCCATTCTTCGTATGCTGTAATTAAAATATGAAACCAAAAAAAAAAAAAAACAGCATCGCGAAGTAAAATACTAATAAAAATACCATTATCAATTTTATCCTGCTCTTCCTGACGTTCCTGTTCCCTCAATTCCAAGTCATCTGCCTCTTCACTCTGAGGTTCGGCCAATGCAACCTTGTATCCCGCTAATTTCTATACAAGTCATATATTATTGAGAACAAAGTGCATTTCATGTTTGAACAGCTTCATGAAATATGAACAGAGAGCACCAACTTGCTGATAGTACATCTCCTTTTTCAGCAACTCAATCAAACGCGGTGGGTAGAACTGAAATTCATTACTAAAACGAAATTTTCGTGATCAATTTAAGGTTCATAATCGCGCGTTACACCTTCAAAAAAAGAAATACCAACATGGTGATTTGTTTTGGCGCTCGTGGAGTTTTAGGCTGAGTTGGTTTTGCCGTAACTCGTAGCGCTTCTCGATAATAAGAGTCGACTGCATAATTCACCTTGCGTTCACGTTTCGGAGGCTCAATCCAATTAAATCGCGAACTGTGATCTTTGCGCTATAACAACATGGTGTAGTTAAGTAAAAATAAACAAAGGTTCGTGATGTTTTTCAGTTTGCATCTATTACCAACCTTATTACTCCAATCCTCTCCTTGCCACTGATAGGCAGATTCCGAGGTGAAATTTTGTAAATCATCCAGGCCAAGGCTCTGATATTTCATATTAAGCTCTACTGTTTTCTCTTCGCCCTTACGCAGTATTAGTTCAATGTCATCATCCGTCACGGTACTAGTAACACGAATCGCGTTCACGTTTTGAATGACACATTAAGAATTTATAATAGAAATTGTATAGCGCATTAATTGCCTTTACCTATCATTGGAATTAAATATACTCTCAGCACCATGCTGAATCATGGTTAATAACTCTTCTTTGCTGGCAGCTGGCGAATAATTATCGCGTTAACAATGCGTTTCACAAATTACATGTGTCGATCAAAGATAATCGAAATACTATACCTTTCTGCGATTGAACCAATCGACCTTGTTGAATTACAAGCTGATCTAAACGCAACTTTTGCGCTGCTCTCTCCAGAACTTTCTCTTCGATAGCATTCTAAGTGCCGGATTCCAAAAGTATATGTTACCAAGATTCAATTACAGTATTAATTTAAATCAGCAAAAAATTATTACCTCCGTGACAAATCGAAAGACATAAACTTGCTTCGTCTGACCAATACGATGCGCGCGGTCTTGAGCTTGCAAATCTACCTGAGGGTTCCTAAATTAGGAGTTAGAAGTCAATTCGTTGAAAAAATTTTCGTTCGCATCACGATACCCACCAATCACTGTCATAGAGGATCACAATATCCGCCGTGGTAAGATTAATTCCAAGACCCCCAGCACGAGTTGTGAGTAAAAAAATAAATTTTTTGCTTTCCGGTGCATTGTATTCGTCAATAGCAGTTATACGATCTTCTTGTTTCGTCTGTCCATCAATTCGACAGTATTCTGAAAAGTGCATTAAATTCAGAATCTACAAAAAGTATGAAAATGACGATCTTTGTACGCGTACCGAATCCTCGAAATATACAATAATCTTCCAGGATATCAAGAACACGACTCATTTGGCTGAAGAGAAGAACACGTGATCCTTGAGCCTTCAGTCGTTTAAGTAATTTATCCAATACAATCATTTTGCCTGTGTGCATATATATAAGAATGTTATGGATATGAATAAATAAAATTGAATCCACAGAGAACTTACCTGCGTTGTCCACAATATGTTCATCAGTCGTGTAGGGTGGACCAGGCTCCTGCAATGAATTCAACGGTTACGACAAATTTATTAAAGGAGCAATATGCATAGGTACAGAGACTTACTGCTCCGTCAAAAAGATAAGGATGATTGCAACACTTTCTCAACTGCATAACAATGTTTAGCAAGCGGGTCTTGCTTTCACTTTTGCTCACAGCACCTACATATGTTGAAAATAAGCATAAAATAGGAACCTTGAATGATGTAAATAATAATTAACAATAAATCCTACCGTTAACTGCAGCAATATCTTTTTCCAGAATTCTTTGATACCACTTTCTCTGCATGGATGACATACCCACATACAAGTTTATCTCTTTCTTGGGAAGCAGTGATTTTTCCACATCAGATTTTATTCTTCTAAGGAGAAAAGGTCGTAAAACCTAAAAACAAACATAGAAGTCTCTAAGGATAATGTTCATAGAACGTAAACATATCCGGATTTGTATTACCTTGTGCAATTGCTGAATGACACTGTCTTGGTCTCCACCTTGGGAATTAAACCATGAGTCAAAATCCTCGGATGAACTGAATACATCAGGCAAAAGAAAATTTAACAACGCCCATAATTCATGAAGATTGTTTTGGAGCGGTGTGCCTGTGATCAGTAGTCGATTCCGTGATTTGAAGACTCTGACAATCTGAGAAAGCATTGAATTCTCATTCTTTATACGATGTGCTTCATCAATTATGATATATTGAAATGCGAATTTTTTGAATGCGGCCTTCTCAATTAAGCACATCTCATAAGATGTTATACAAACTTGGAAATCCTTAGTCATTAACCTATCCTCGATTATCTGCGCCTATATAAATGTTCGGATTTATATTTACTTTTCGTTGTATGAACGATGCAAATCGATGCATAATTAATAAGAATGTAAAAAAAAAAAAAATTTTACCCTCTCATTCTTGTTGCCTAATAGAACTACTACATGAAAGTCCGGCATCCACATGTTAAACTCTTTTGCCCAATTATTTAGTGTTGACTTGGGTGCAACAACGAGATGTGGACCAGATATGTTACGAAAATGTTTGAGATAACCAAGAAACGATATTGTTTGCAAGGTTTTACCGAGACCCTGAATTTAAAAAATAAGAAAGTTTTTAGAAGGTTTGACCGAAAATCCAAATAAATTTCAAAAAGAAAAAATACCATTTCGTCTGCTAAAATTCCATTGATCCCATTTTCGAAAAGCGATATCATCCAATTTAAACCTTGAAGTTGATAATCCCTCATGGTACCATTTTTGATATCTTCACATAATATACAATAAAGTTAACATGTAATGGTTACATGTAAACGCCACGTAATGACTAGCACTAGCACTCACAACTTGGTGATTCGTTAAAAACACGAGTAACATCTGGCGACTCGTCTGCTTCATCCATAAGTAATTCCTAAATTTAAAGTTTATATTAGATTTTTATTTTCAAAATTACTCAAATATGTTAAAATACAACCTCGTCCTCTTCTTTTTCAGTTTTCCGATGTCTTTTTGATCTGATATGCATAAATAAAAAGTTGTTGGCCCGTTTGGCACATGTAAAAATTCAGAGAAACCGGTCATATCATTACCCAACATCTTCTTTGACCAAGTTATTAAATTTCTCAGTTTCTTCAACAAGTTGTTGGAATTCTTTATCTTTTGATTTCTGTGTAAAAAATAAATTGCGATGTAATTTTTTTTACTATTGCATTAACAAATGTGAGAAAAAGACGAAGATATACCTTCAGGTCAATAAAATGTGAAAACAGCTCTATATAAAATATATATTCATATTCAAATGGTGCAAAGATATATTAAAACAAAGCAACTTGATATTGTTATTTCATACCCGAATGACCAAGTAGAAACTGAAAACGTT